TTAGGGGTCTGAGGTCTGAGTTTTCGGGGTGTGAGTTTTCGTGACACCCCAAGCTTGCTTGCACTCAGGTAAAATGCTCATGGATTTTGCCGACATATGTCAATGAAGTGCCGTATGCGAGGGCTAAAGACATCGATTTCTCATCGGCTAAGAAGCTCAAAGAAAAGCTCGACCAAAAAATCGAGGATCTACAACAGCCGCAAGCCTCGAACCATACAACAACTTCTAGTTCCTCCTGTTCTTCCCCTTGATTTGTAATGATCTTAGGTATAGCGCATTAGATCATATATCTAATGAATTTTGCGCTATAGAAATAATAAAATTATTAAATTATTATACGAAAAAATCCTTAGTCTTTATGCTTTCCACTTTTGCTCGAACAGCCAACAACAATGCATAAAACCATCCCTTCTTTCTCACATGAACTCTTCGTTAGATACGGTTTGTTTACGCTCGAGGGACACCAAGATGGCGGATAGTAACCGTTGCTAAGGTATTGGTCACGTGGGTGAAACCCAAGGATACACTTTCGAAACGCTTCAGATTCGAAAATCTAAATGGACTCCCCCAGAGGGCCAGTTCGCATCATTAGATTTTTCCATCAAAAAATGTCGCTACGATATCAACAAACTTAATTTCAATCGCATTACCAAATTTTCCAATCTTTCCTCTGAAGAGTGGTCGGCACTAAAAGGCCTAAAAAAACCATAGTTAACTATGAAAAAACGCAAAGACATTGCTATCAAAGCGGCCGACAGGGGCGGTGCAGTAGTTGTTTGGCGGGAACTTTCTGACACCTCTTTTTATCAAAACGTTGACAAAGATCTCACTTCAATTAATCAAAACACGGTCAAAAATACGATTAACGAACTCATAGCTAAGCAAGAATTGCCGGCCACTGAAAAATATCTCACATAACCACTCCTAGAACTTCATGAATTAATTTTTTACCTAATATTCACAAACCTAACAACCCGGGTTGGCCCATTGTCTCGGCTTACACTTGCCCTACTGAACTTATTTCCAGCTATTTAGACAAAGTTATGGCTCCCATCGTCAAAACTTTACCATCATATATTAAAGACAGCCAACACACTCTTCAACTTTTTCGCGACTTTAATCTCCTTGGCCAAGACGAACTTCTTTTCACTATTTATTTATTCATTCATTTATTTATTTATTTATTTATTTATTTATTACAATTTAAGGGCTCAGTTACAACATATAAAGTTATAAAGTACAAGCGAAAAGAAAAGAAACGCCATATGGATAATCCGTAAAGGAGTCCAGTACCCCATATGAAAACAGATCACCAAAGTTAAATAGCCTAATAATATTACATATGTTTTAAAATAGAAATAATTATTATAAAAATTCCACGGAATTATTANATAGTGCTTTACTGCGAAGGATCGTGCACATATACGTTTCATAACCGCAGTTCATATATATGTATTTCATATGTTTGTTGTTTGATTTATCATCTACGGGTTTATGTCGAATTAATTTGATGGCCTGCTCCCAGTTGGCTTGTTAGCTCAATTGGTAGAGCGCTGCACTAGTATCGCAGAGGTCAGTGGTTCGAATCCCGTACAGGCCTGAATTTTTTTCAGGTCTGATTTTCACTATTGCTTAAATAGTGCTTTACTGCGAAGGATCGTGCACATATACGTTTCATAACCGCAGTTCATATATATGTATTTCATATGTTTGTTGTTTGATTTATCATCTACGGGTTTATGTCGAATTAATTTGATGGCCTGCTCCCAGTTGGCTTGTTAGCTCAATTGGTAGAGCGCTGCACTAGTATCGCAGAGGTCAGTGGTTCGAATCCCGTACAGGCCTGAATTTTTTTCAGGTCTGATTTTCACTATTGCTTAAATAGTGCTTTACTGCGAAGGATCGTGCACATATACATATATTAAGGTACTATAAGTAATTTACGGAACATATTGAAAGGAGTGTAATATGTCGTAAAGTAATGTAAATATAGAGTATCGTGTAGGTGATGATGATGACTTTATTTAAACTCGGATGAAAATGTGGCTTGTTAGGCCTCTAGTAATAGAGATGCTCATATACCGCGGAAAAATATATGAATATAAATTATAGAGTTTGAAATAATATAAGCCTAAATATAAATGATGATATAAAATTACAAATTACTTAGTTTTCTTATCTCATTCCTGAAAGAGCCAAATTCGGCCATTAATCTAAGCTTATCAGGTAATGCATTCCAAGCCTTATTAGCAGCAATGTAAGAAGTCGATTTAAGGCCGTAAGTTGTGGTCTTGGTGGAAGTAATCGAGAGTAAGTCATCGGCTGTAATCAAGTTTATTGTGAACTATACTTTGTTAGTGGTGTGTTCTCAGTAAACTATTGTAAGTAACGTACTGTAACTGAGTCCTGTAGTGTAATGTAAGTAGAGTAATGTTTTGTAAAATGCTAAAATATAAAGAAATTACAAAAAAAAGAAACATGCGTAGTTGTACACTTTGACCGGTCGTTTAATCAGTTAACCCTTAGACAAAAAGTTTCTATTATTTTTCCTAAGATGATACGAAATCACCGCAATTTGACATTACTTTAATCAGTATTCCATGTATATTCTCCCTATCCTCCCAACAAAGGGAGGCAGTGTAATCATTTGTCACAAGAAAAGCTTGTTTCACCACCCTCATCATCATCGTCAACAATTAAAAAAATAAGCTTTACTCTTTCTTTTGTCCGTTTTCTCCACAATATAACCTAAAATGCAGTTACTCTTTCAGTTACTAAAAGTTCTTCTCCGCAGGGTTGCACCTCTTCTTCTTCGTCGGAGTCAGTCTGTTGTTTTACGCACGGAATCAGTGATACGATCGATGCACCCGCTATCAGCACCGCACCCGCAGTGGAAAATGGGATTGTGTATGAGCCAAGGTCGTCAGCCATCAGACCTGTACACAAACAAATAACGCAAACTTTAGCCATGTGCTCCCAATCCTTTAGTCAGATAACAAACAATAGAGCACATTCTATTAAGTTTGGAAAACTAAAATTAAAGTATCTGCAAAAGGTAGTCAGATCACAAACTGAAAACATGGAGGAAAAGCCGGAGAATTCGAAGTAAAGAAGAATAATACATCAACCAATGAACGATTAAACATTCACTTGTCATTTATCGTCAAACCCGCGATGAGCAAAACACAGTTTTTAATATCAGGGAAGCTTACCGGCTAATGGAGGTCCAATGGATACCGTAACGCCTATAAAGAAATTCAGGTAGCCCCAAGCTTGATTGAATTGGCTTTGTTTGACGCATTTTAAAAGTAGGAGAGAGATCTGCCCCATTGAGGATCCTTCCATGAAGCCGATCACTATGAAAATCGCTATCACTGATCCATATGACGCTGCTGATGGAAGACATATGACACACAATCCGCTGATTGTCATACCTCCCTGGTATAAATGGAATCTGTTGAAGTGTCGACGAAACTCTCCAATTTTACAAAAGAAGTGACGACTGAAGAAGGATGCTATCGCCAAATATATGAAGAGCATAGACGCTTTGTCTCCAGAAATGTTTAGTTCCTGTTCGCAGTGCTTAATCTGTAGAGAAATATGTAGTTGTTTAGTGGCTTCCGTTTCATTGCCATTCAATGGTTTTTCAAAGCATTTTCAGCATAATTTGAGCGACTAACCACGACTTCCTGAACCTTACGAAGCAATGATATGATAGGATATTTTATCAATTAATTTGATAATGTAAATTGGCCCCAGTTAACTGAGTTTAAAAGCTGGTCACTGGCATCAATCGCATATCATAGATCACTCCTCCTGTAATAATAACAATCTCTATAGCATGATGATACTTACAATGTGTACGGTTGGAACAAAGAAGCTCAAATTAACAACCATGAACGAAGATAACAGGACAAGAAAAGAACGATTTCTAAAAAGAGATAAATCTCCTTTTTCCTCTGCTTTCTTATCTGCAGCCATGCGACCCTTGCTATTATTTGAGCGGTCGACAGGTACAAACACCAGCGAACACAAACCGCATAGCAGATAGAAACCTGCAAATCCTCTTAGCGTGCCCCGCCATCCAATTGTATCCAGCAAGCCTTGGGTGACTTGAGTCATAACAAGCATGCCTATGGCTGACGCTGATGTCATTATACCAACGGCTAAAGAAAGCCGTTTGACGAAGTAGTCCACGATGACTACCATGGAGGCGTTGTAAATTATCCGATAGCCAAAGCCTGACAAGAGTCCATACGTAGGGTACATCATCCACAGTTTAGGAGACAAAGACGCAAGAGAAAATCCAATGATCCCTGTGAGGGCACCCACGATGGCAGTGACCCTGTGGCTAAAACGATGGCTGATAAAAGAACCCAGAGGACTCAAGAAATAGCCAAAGCCCAGGTTTAACGATCCAATCCAAGCTGAAAATTAATTTTGCGTAGATGCTTTTAAGATCATACTATAACTTTGAAATATGTAAAATAGCTACAGAGGTTAGGGTAAATGCTAGCTAACTCAACTTTCACCTCGTTCTCCCACAAGCCAATCATGTGAGAATTCAGGTCGCAATAATGTCTCAGAAATCCGTTTCTACCCTCTGAAGCAACCTCGTTCCCAGGGCCTTTTCCCTTAGCCCCACCCCTAACCAAGGGAGAAGGCCCTGGGAACGAGGTTGCTCTCTGAAGGAGAAACATGCTCCAGAAACGATGTTTTCTTAACCGTTCCACCATTGGCAACTATCAATTATTTGGGCTAGTCGTTGAAGAGAGTAAGATGTCATTCAGTTGTCTTTAACACTGTTCATTCGAGCGCAATGGAGAACGATTTTCACACGGGAACGAACATTCTATCACATCGCATACCTCACCGACGAGTGTTTCTTGAAAATTGAAAATATTTAGCTCATTAACAACCAAATGTAGAACATCGGATCGCGAAATCAAAAGCTATAAGTTCAGAAAGGACGAGGGATAAGGACCACGGAATATTTTTCAACTGCGTCCTACTTTTTTGACAAGACGTTCTACGCGTATATATACATCTACATATCTGAAGATTGAACCAATCAGTAAGACATGACATTTTCTGTAACTCTGAGTTTCACGCTTACGCGATCATCAGAAAAATTTAAAAAGAGTCTTATCGATTACTTCATTCTTCAGATATAGCACACTCTGCGATGCATCGAGCCCTCTACCACAAGGAGAGACTACAACCAAGATTTGCACATCTATATATTTACGTGGAGATCCCTCCTCCTTATACCTCGTGCTTTTGTAACTCAAAGCTATTGATTTAGACATATGCATATATCTGTTTCAGTATTAAATTTGCAAGCTCTAATGCTGCATTTCTGTGGTCCTGACAGGCTCACTCAACTCCGGTTATCAGCTCATATGACGCATTACGCCAACTGTTGTGGGGCTGAAAAAAGGCTCCTAATCTCCAAACGTTCAGGATTCAATGAAATTTAATGCAACAGTTAATTCTATTCGCGCTTGTTGGATACGAGACTGGTCATAGCTATCTACCATCTCATATCCAACGCGTGCTCATGGAATAAATATTTCTTAGACATTTTGTTATGTATTATCGCTGAGTATTTTACGAGTTGTGACGTATTTTGACGAGCCCGTAGGGCGAGTCAAAATACAGATAACGAGTTAAAATACTCAGCGATACGACGCACCAAAAAGTCTAATAAGATATTTATTATCCAACACGTCAAATTGTTATTTCAGTGCGGGCGAATTTCGCGGATATTCATTTACGAGGAGTGGTGTGACAGAAGTATGCGAAGCGGAAGGGAATTGGCGCGTTGCCGCGTTGCCGAGTTGCCGCGTTGCCGCCTTGCCGCCTTGCCGCCTTGCCGCCTTGCCGCCTTGCCGCGTTGCCGCCTTGCCGCGTTGCTGTTTCTATTTTCTTCAATAAATGATGAAATTTCATTGTCGTCTGACTGATTTTCTTCGTTCGATTTATCTAATAAACTTGGACCAATATTCACCAGCTATTCCGACTCATCGTCGTCAGAAAAGTCATTTTATTGTCCGACATTTTTTTTTTGTAACTTAATTCCAATTCGTCGCTTACGCGATGCGAGAAAACCTGTCTAACGGTTCTCTAGAGTCCAAGTACCACGTGATATTTGTACTTGCCTTGGGCGTTATTTGCACTCTACAGAATGTAGTTGGATAATAATTGTAAATATTTTTTGTTTTCATTACCTATAGATTGCCTGGACGCTCCAAAGTTCTCCATCAGAGGAGGCAGGAGCAAGCCAAAGCTGTACATGATACCCGATACAATTATAACTATGACTGTCGAGGCCACACACACTAACCATGACCAACAACTGTCGGGACGGCATTTAGGTTCTTTTTCCACAACCTTTTGACTTTCTTGGTCGCAATCTTGAGCATGTGAGGCCACCATGATTGTTTTTTCAATGTACTACAAAGAAATCATTTGTTGAGTTCATATATTTGACATTAAGACAAACATTTCCCGCACTTCTAAAATGAAATGGATAAAATTGTCAGTAGTTGTACATCGAAATGTTCAAGGCGATTAAGGTTAGTTTATTGGTACGGTTTCAGTTGAAGATTTCAAATTTTTCCTTTTGTTCTCAGTCGTTTTAACCACTTTTCGACTCAAGACGAGAAAATGTTAGGCGAAAAAATTTTCGATGAGGGCCCAGTTGTATAAATCGGCGGATAAATCGCTATCCAGTAGATAAGCAATAGCAAAACGCACTGTGCTATCCACCGGATAAGGATTTATCCACTGATAGCGTTATGCAACCTTCGTAAAAACTTTCCTTTAGACCAAAGACAAAAATGCGACTGCCCCAAGTCCATAAAGCCTGGCGAAAAAAAATTGAAGGGAAATGTTTTCACTTGCCAAATAGCAGGAGTGGTTGAAAATTGGACCTATGAATGACCTTTGCAACAGTCTTACAAAAAGGTTTACATAGAATAAGAGTATCTATGTACGTATTGAAGATTTTACATCACAAATAAGCCATTTCCGAGCTCTGAATACTAATACTTTTTCTTTCAAAATAAGACAAGATGTTGGATCTTTCTTGTGAATTAAGTACTAAGATTAGAAAACCCTTGTACTATAACTATGTCGTTTGAACACCATCGCTAACAAAAGGAGATCTCTGAAATGTTGCTCCCTGAGCTCGTCTACGAGTAGGGGAAAATTCAAAGTTTCGATCATCGCTCACGTAATACGAATGTCTAGTGTAAGAACAAGCTATATTTCTTACCTTTCTATCGCTTTCCTCCTTCAGAATAAACCATAACTACTTTCTATCGAAAGGAAAATCAATCTCGCTGATGTTTGAAGTAAAAATGATAATCTACCCTTAGAAGCCAGCGACATCTTGCTTGTTCCGACATCTTGCTTGATAACAACTTCCGCTCGAATTCATAGTGCAAGGCAGAGACAATCCTTTGTAACAGCCTGAAACGTCAACCCAATGTGAAATTGTATTCTGCTGATTAACGGATTCGGAAACTAATACATTAAATCCGATAGGCAATGAGAAAACAAAAATGCATTTCTCGACAGATATTTTCGTAAGTAGCTTATAATATTCGCTTTTTCCGTGCTTCTCATTTTAGCGTTAGCTTTTGTTTTTGTCAGAGTCCGACGTTAAATCACGACCGAAAGTACTCAACGTCAATACAACAACAACAAAAAAAAAAAATTAAGACAGGCAGGGGTTACAGGTTACACTAAGGCAGGGGTCGCACTGTGGTCTTAATTTTTTTATGTCGCGTCATAAGATGTCCCACAAATACGTCGTGACATTTACACCATGGGAGCCTTGGAGGTCGCACTTGTGCGACATAAATGATATTTGAAACCAGACTGTCAACTCTTAATATTTCACGCGCGAAAAGAGCACTAAATATAATTTTGTATACATGAGGCTGGTGCTAGTTTTATTAGCGACATTTCTTCAATCTCTGTTTAAATTTTTCAATGTAGAAAACCCTATTGGTTTGTACGCATTGTACAACACTCGCCAACGGCAAATGTTGGCTCTTACCGCTTTAAACCGACGTCGACGAATGCAAATAAATGGGAAAAGATCCGCGAGCCAAAGGACCAAAGGTTGAAAAGAAGCCATTCCCATACTGAAAATAATCAGGTGAATAGTGCAAATTTGTAAATTGGTATGGGTTGGAATTCGCCCCAAGGACCAGATGAAACGTTGTAAAGATGTAAAGAAAACTGGTGACGTGTTGTCTTTGCAGAATTTCGAAAATCCAATTTTTGCCTGCATTTCGGACTTGACTGTCGTTGCGACAGAAGAAAATCAAAAAAATTGTTATTTTAAGGCCATTAGACAAGATAGACCCAGGATATGACCTACTTCGAGGCAGGACATCGGCTTTTTTGATCTTTAGGTCCTTCGGAAATTTTTTTCATAGGAAAGTTATAAACTTCCATGTTATCACAAAACTAACACTGAACCTTTCAATATTTGTACTTCTTTGTATTATATAATGCACTTGTCATTTGCTACTAGATGTTCTTTAAAGTATTTGTAAATGAATGTTCTTCAGCTGAGATTGGTACAAGCTGTGCATCAATGAAAAGAACAGGGAAAACCAATGCCCAAAAGGGTCCCGAATATGACTACAATTCTTATAAAGAGTTTTTTGATAGCGAAACTGAGGCCCGCATAATAGCTGCATGGATGCAGTTTGCTGCAATGACACGATTAGAAGGTCAGTATAGTTGACATCAAATTTTGTTCCTCACAAAAGTAATAGGATCAAAGATTTCTTTATCTGCCATAGACAAATAGAATTTTACTATATTATAAACATATTAAAGTAGAATGGAAAATACAATGACACTGCTTATACATTTTCACCAGATACCAAGCAAAAAGAAAAGAAATTCCATGTTGTTGATAAGGTGTTTTTGAAACTTTAGTGCTCCCATAGCCCTAAGAAACAATTGTACAAGGTTACTAGAAGAATAAAGGCTGATAGTTTCGAAAGAAACTGTTTTGGAGCTGTGTCAGTGGGAGTAACGAAATAATTTGGATATATCAACAAAGTTGAAATGGTAAATTGGCCACCATAACGATTACAAAAGCTGACGTTTCGAGCGTCAGCCCTTCGCTCCGACGAAGGGCTAACGGTCGAAACGTTACTAGAAGAAGTCTTCTAGATTCAGCTGTCTTCTAGGGCTTAATTAAAACACTTGCACACTGACGAACGTAAACACAATCGATTCGGACTCACCAAGTCTCAACAGTATGTGCTTCATCGACTACTAAGACCGACACATCCATCAAAGAACCAGATTTAAGTTCATGTTTGTTTTCTTCCGATAACTACGGCTCAGGCTATCCAAGATTATTTCTACATTCGCTAAGGTTCCTTTGTTGCTCGAGTCTAATGTCACAGCTTTTATACCATATTCTACAAACTTGTCGACTTGTTGGCGTCTGCTACGTTCGAGAGGATTAATTGCAATTATCTAAAAGTCCTTTTATTCTTTCTTTACATCTTTCCAGATGGAATAGAATAACTTTGGTACAATCTGGTAAATCAGACTCCTCCCGTAATCCGTAGGAAGGACACCGACAACATCTTGATGGGACAAAACTATTTTTTTTATGCATTCGAGTTGACCCGACTTTAAAGTTATTCCTGGAATATATTCTAGAGAAGTCTGAAGACACTTTTCAAACTTGTTTTCGCTTATTATAAGACATTGAAAGGCAACTACAGATCTGCCAACTCTCACGGTTCTGCCGTTAGCCTGACGATATTTTGTCATTTCTCACGGTCTCACGACAAAAGGGTCGCACTTGTCGCAAGTATGCGATGACAGATTTTTATGTCCAATGTATATGTAAACACCAAAAGCGTTAGTGCGACCCCTGCCTTACGCTTTTGGTGTTTACATTTGACATAAAATTTGTCATCGCGTGCTTGCGACAAGTGCAACACTTTTGTCGCAACCAGACATAACTATGTCTGAAGGACCTAAAGGTAAAAAAAAAACAAGCAAAAAAGTTCAACCAAAGGGAGAGATGGAGCTTGGACGACGAAAAAGTTCTATTGCGGCTTTGGGCTGACAATATTGAAAAAGTAGAAAGCAAAGATAGCCGCAAAGCCTGGGAGGCTTCAAGGCGCTGAACGAAAGACAAGGCCTAAAAAAACCCCGTCGACTAGCGCCAGCGTAACGTTAAGCATGTAAAGAACCAGTACAAAGAAAAGAAGACTGAAATCGTCGGCAAAGCGGAGGAAATTTACACAAAAGTCCTCATTACGACATAATTAAGCTGCGGTGATATCATCACGTGTAACAACGTGGAGCAAGCTGGTACACAAGCTGGAGAAAACAGTGGAAGCTCGGAAAATAATCGACAAGTGATGCTGAAGCGTCGAGCAGTTCCAGTTCAGCTGGTTGCACCACCTCTACAACTGCTGTTAGTTCAGTCCCAAGAAGACGCGAAAGAAAAAAAGTAAAGGGTCAAAAGTGGCCTGCTCGCGTGCATGACAGCGTCAGCGAAGATGTGGGAAACAAAAATGCTCTTCGAGTCACACCAAATAACTCACTAAGGTTTAATCCTGTTAAGAACTCAACAATTTCTTCTCTCACAAAAGAAGAGAACAAAAAACGTCACCGATGCGTTCTTTTCACGAAGCCCATCATTGGAACCGAGGCTCTCACGATTTTCAAGACGAGGTTGTCACACAACACTAAAAAAATAGTCACGACAAGGTGAGGCCATCAAAAAGCTTGCCACCGAAGGGGAACAAATGGCTAGTGTTATCACAGGCGTCCCAGGCTCACGTCTCGAGCGCAAGCGAAGGATTATTTCATGAAAGCGTCACGCGCTGTGTGACGCCGTGTGATAACAGGAAAAGCAGTGATGGCAAAGCAATCAATCAATCAAGCTTTATTAACGGTATCACTTCATTAAAAATTAAAAATGCTTTTCCAGTGGGCCGTTTACACAACTTGACAAAAATTTTTAGAGAAACTACATTAATGCTAAAATATTTCTATCTATTAAGAAAATCTATCCTATAATTCATTACACAAGAATCAATCAACCTTAAAGGTACATTAAATAACTAAAGTAAATTCAATCTCAACTCCCTCAAGGCAATTTATGGTTCAAGAAGACAGGGCAGACTTGAAAGAGTTGAGATTTATTTCATCTTTAAGCACATTTTCTAGGCCATTCCACGTGACTACCCCCCTATAGCTAAAAGCCCGCTTAACAGATTCACTGTACGGGGCCTTGGTACAAAAATGTTGTTTGAGGCACCTCGCACATTGTAAGAATGAACCCCGGAGGTTGTTTTAAACATGTTCTTTAAACTCTCAGGGTAAAAGTTATTTAGAGATTTAAAAACAATAATTGCGAGCTGTTTAGAGCGTCTTTGCTCAAGCATATCCCATCTCTAGTCTTGGAGGATATCCGCAGATCTTGTATTATAATCACTAAATATTATAATTCTCCCGGCCCTATTTTGCAATCTCTGGAGTCTGTCAAACAGGCCCGGCCTTTTCCTATACATCCCCAGACTTCGGAGCAATAATCAAATTAAGGAGCGACTAGAGCATCATACATTTTCAGTAGGGTTTGGCGAGGCACCAGGGAACGAATACGTTTTAAGGCCCCTATACCTGCAGATACCTTTTCACAGATGGTATCTACATGGGATTGCTACCCCAATGCCTCGCCGCATCAATCTCTATTCCCAGATATCTATATGATTAGTCACCCGAGTCAATTGTTGACTATTAACCACAACAAGGGTCCGAGTACAGAACCTTGTGGGACCCCACAACTAACAGGAAGATAGTCTGATAGAGTTACATTTACATAAGTACTCTGAAAGCGATTTGATAGATATGATTTGAACCACTAAACTGCGTGCGGGTCGAGACCATGAAACTGCAGCTTTTTTAACAATATGTTGTGGTCAACCGTATCAAAGGCTTTCTTAAGATCCAGAAAGAGTACACTATTAGTTAGGCCTTCATCAATATTTAAGTACCAGTCGGTAGTAGTATAGTCTCCCCTCGCAGCCGTTTTTAGTCTCGTCACGCAACGCTTCTCCCCACAAACCTGGGTTAGCGTCATATTTCAGCCACGTTGCTCTTTTTAGTTGAGCTCTTTCAAATTGAAAGCGAAGATTTTGTAAAAGAAATCAGATAAACGTGCGTCCGTGACAGTGAATTGAAAAAAAGACAGAATTAGCGTACAGAAGCTTTATAAACTATTTTACTTTACCATCGAACAGTTTGATAGCAAAAAGAAAGACGTCTTTGAGCAAAACTCACCTGTAACTCCAACAATGATGCAAACTATTGCTAACGATCACAAATTTTTTGATTGACAAATTGGAAACTCGAACAATCACGACTCAAAAGAAAGACAAAATATTTTACGATCCTTGGGGTCAACTAGAATCATGGCAGGAAGATATTACTTGAGTATTTTGTGAAGAACTTTGGAACGTGCACATGGATATTAAAAGGACCAAAGAGTAAGGTAAAAAATAGCTATTAGTTTTGCTTTGAGTCATAACTACGTATCGTAATCACAAAATAAGAATTTTCGCACCAACGTTCGCGGGCCTTGATTACTTTATCGAGAATTACGGTCTAAACCTGTCTTCTATTTAAAACAACTGACGGTCTCGATCACAACGGATCTTATTCTGAAATGAAACGGCAACTATAATTTCCCTGTCCAAAAACACTAATCAGAGAAGCGTCAATTAATCCCGAATATATTTCGCAGCCTCTATCGGAAGCGGTAACATTCATCTTTAACAGAAGCGGTTATGTGGATGACTAAGCTAAGAAGCTTCTTTATCATATAAGGGGCAAAATTACTGAGTTGTGATTGGTCAAAGACAGAGGGAATTTTTTCTTAATTTTTGTAATAC